TTTTTTGTTTTTGTTTTTACGCGTCGATCGTCGAACGATCGGGACGCGCGATTACTTCCGACCGTTTCGCGAAACCGCGATACGGTAACGGGCGCGACGACGAAATTTTCTGCGAGTGGATTCGCGAGTTTTCACCGTGTACGTAAAGGGTACCCATTCTCGGAACGCGAGAGAGACCCAGCATGGCCGCCTAGCACGAGACGAGTAGAGTTCCTCACCGGTGTCCACACTACAACGGCAGCATGCTCTCCGTCTCTTTTTCTCACTGCATCCCTTTCGCTCTCCGTTTCTGTCCGCTTTCTACCGTCGTGTATTCAAAGAGTATATGACACACTCTCCTCCCTCTGTCTCGCTCGCTCTCACACACATACGCATATAGATGCATCGCAATCTGTCTTCGTTTTTGTACAATGTTGTTGCTCTCGCTGCGTCGCTTTCTCGCTTTCTGTTCCACGCTTTTCCCTCACAGTTTGTTCCTACGTCCGTCTTGTTCGCTTCTTCCCTCGGTCTTTGTCCCGCGTGTACGCTCCCTCCATTCGCTTTTCGTTCTATCCGCGTCACTCCGTTCTCTCCTTCGCTCCCTTTCTCTCCCGGTTTCTGCATCTCTCTTTCGTTCTTGTCCCCTGATCGCGCCTTTCATTCGAAAATAGAACGTCAGCACGCGTGCCGCGCACATTTTTCCTCATGAAAACAGCGAATTCCCACTCGCTGACACGCGCGCACGACACCGGCTAAGCGAGCGCTCGTGTCGTATTCTAACCTCACTTTCCGCGAAAAAATTGCGTGGATCGTGCGTTAGCTGACGCGTCCGAAATCCCCGTAACCCATCCAGTGTCTTCGACTGTTGTTATTGTTATTGAATTAAATACATCTAAAAATACAAACTGCTTTATTAACAATAATTCTATCATTTAATACCTCACATAGCATGCACTTTTCGTTCGATCGATCGTTTATTTACAGTCGTTGCGATCTATCGATTCGACTGATATACGGAGTATCGCGACTTTCAATATGGCGCCCGCGGTACCTCTCCGTAGAACGTTGTTGTACAGTTGTAAATATTTCACGTAGAGACTGAGTGTGTTTGATAAAGAAATGAAAGTAGTAATTTTGTTCGTGGGTACGAGAAGAAGCGGTAAGGTTATATCGTCTTGCGTTCATCGTGCGTTGAGTTTGTTGCGGTCAGACGGAGGCAGACGTCCGACGATATTCTGGCGGGAGACTCGTAAAAATAGTGTCTTCGCCGTTTCCTTCCTTCGACTCTGTGACTATAATTAGCGGGATTCGCGTTTTCTGCGTAAACAAATATTCGCCGGTCTGTCGCGGCGTGGCGTGGCGTGGCGTAGCCTCTTTTACTGTTGTTCGTGATTTCCTGTTCGTTAGAGTACGCTGAATAAATACCGCAAAACACGACTGTCGACCAGTCACGGGTGTCGCGACCCACGACGTCTATCGATGCTACACGAGTTTTGCATTAGGAGAGTGTGGACAGTAGAAACAGACCACTCTGTCTGTTCCCGTCCACCTTCCCTTTTCCTCTTACGCGGGTTCTATGTTGGCGTACTCTAGGAGACGGTGTCTGTGGCGAAGAGGTGGGCAGAAACTATTCATACCCGACGAGAGCGTTCATAAAAATAGGATTTTCGCGATTCCTCTTCCTCCGATGCCGCGCTTAATGGAAGTCCGCGTACGTGGCAAATAAATGTTAGAAAAATTCTTTCCTTCGTTCCTCTTGATCTCAAAACAACGTTACGCGATTTTAATTTCCGTCCACCTTGGTTTTTTTTTTTAATTTAAATTTCATTTAATAATAGAATTTTTGGCAGGAAATCCGTAAGAGATTTATACAGGAAATTTTCAAGCAGTTCTACGAATATGTTCATTTGAATTTGAAAATGATCGCATGCTAAGGGTTGAAACGTTATTTGGTATTAAAAATGGTAATAAATCTAGGAAGATGTATGTCTTGTTTCGTACTTTGCAAGCCCCTTTACGAATCGAGTAAAAGTTGTTTACCGTTAGAGGAAGTATAGCGATCGTTCGGATTCGCAGACAGATGTCATTTGAATCGTATAATTTTCCACAACTTTGCACTTTACACCTCTATCGGGCTGATTTGTTTGCATTTAGCGCGTTATCGATCGACGTCTATGTTTTTCTTTTTATCAGCGTCATCGCAAATATCGATCGTCATTTATCTCGAGTATCGTCGTCTGTGCGGTTCGAATAATTATTTCTCGGCAAGCGTACTGGCCGGGGTCTCGGGTAAAAGGGCCCCAGAAAACGGACCTGTGGGTCACCGATGCTCGGTGTAAATCAGTGCTTCTCAACCTATGGGTCGTGACCAAAAAGTGGGTCGCTGAGCTGCACGACTCATCGACAAGGTTTACACTCAGTACTATATCATTAATTTTGTTCTCGCTTCTTTGACTTTTCCTACATGTTTGAATTCAAGAAAGAATAACTGTTCACCGCGTAATTTCGTTCTCACTTTGGAAAGTTTGAGAAGCACTGGTATAAATAATAAATTCACGCAACGCGAGACACGACTCGCCTAGGACCACTCGAATCTCGAGTGAGCGTTCCGCGGGGCAACATTTTCATTTTTATGTCGTACGTGAACGGGCGTCACAGGGGAGGGTAACCGTGTGTTGGACATTGTTGTTCGTTATATCGTATATTGTCATGCACGAGGAAAGGAGACAAAGCGCGAAAGAAGGAGAGAGTTAGAGGAAGGGGTAGAACATAGAACGAAACGAATCGCTCGAAATCTGTTCGCCAACTATTTCCTGGGGGCTCGTATTTTAGGAAGTTGTAGGAAGCATGAGACCATGGACCAGAATAAGACAGTGCATGCTGCGTGGACTCTGTCCCTCTTCGTCTCTCACATCATCTTCTCTTGTTTATCGGCCGACTTGTTTCGAATTTTTCACATCGTTCGAACGCTTTTCGCATTATCTTTCATTCCGCACGACTTTAATCCGAATTCCTCCTTTTTTAACAAATATATTTTACCTTTCGAAATCTGAGTGCAGCGCGTTATAAACAGCTTTCCTCTTTTGGAAACGGGTGCAAACGAATTTGTCTTTTGGTAGCTTAATCACATTCCTGACGTCTTTTCTTACTGATTTTTATAAATAGGTCAAAGCGTATATTATTTTTTAAAGGTGCCAAATTTGTCAAATACATATTTTTTTTTAACGACACGTACGCGAGATTTAAATTGGAAGCTGCACTAGATCGACCCTACCAGTTTTCGATACATTCAGGATCGGGCACTTAAAACAGGTCACCTGGATAACTCGTTTATTTTTAAAGATCGAAGAGAATGTTTGTAGCAGAAGTTGTTTGGTTCCATGGGGGACATATTGTGGCGAGGTTTTATTCGTGCTCCAGGTGGAAGTACTAAGGACATTTCAAGGTCGTTAATTTTGTTCAAACGATACTATGTAGTTTTTTTATTTACCTTCTAACGGAAGCATCTACCTGTTCAAGGCCGTCTGGGATCACTAAAGAGGGGGAAGAGGATTTACGAAAAAAAATATTTCGTTCTTTCTCTGGATCGTATCTTTTTAATTTGCGAACACACAAAAACAGTAGTTGGGCGAGAGTAAGAGCCACAGGTAGATTGCGCGGCAAGAGGCAGGATATTAGGGTGGAGGCAATAAAGTTAATAGCATTATTGTTATTTTCCTGTATCCTGATCCCCTTACGACTTGATCGGTGCTCTTCCCTTGTGTAATAATGGTACCTCTCAATGGAGCTCGCTTGATTGATGTTTTTAGGTTGTAAAACTCGCTCGCTGAACCTCCATCTTGCTTGCCAAAACCTCCCCTGTGTGCACATTTTGCTTTTCTTTATAAATGTTCCTATAGAAGAATTTAGATCGTATATTTCGAAACGCATGTACGGTTACTCCCACTCTATATGAAAAAGAAAACTTGTTTCCTACGAAGGGTTTAAGGGTTTGTGTATGAATAAATTACAAACAAACGGTCACGGTGCCACGTTGAAGACACCGGTTCTCGACAGTGGAGCACTGGTCTTTATACATCTTTATCGATTGTGTAATTGGGCAGTATACTTGGCCGTTGATATTAAAACAGATCGAAATTTTGAAAAACCACTTTGTGAATAGGAGTAAGATAGTTGTAACAAACAAGTTTCTTTTCATTTATAGTGAATCAGGTAGTGAATATTACGAATACGAGAGGGAGAGTAACTGTATGTAAAAAAAGGGGGGAAAAGATCGATTTGGTTGAGCCTAACCCTCCTTAACGCGGCATATTGTTTCTTTCCAGACGGTGGTCGTGATCTCTCCCGCAAGGTCGGCGGCGAGAAGCAGTCGAGGAGGATCACGGGTACGGGCGTGGTGAGGTCTGCCGTCGGCGGTGGAGATGCAAGGGCGAGTGCTCGGGGCGGTTGTTATCGCGGTGGATCGTCCGTCGATCGCGCGCGTGATCGGCCAGCGGCGCTCGCGATGATGGCGGAACGCGATCGCGTGGCAGCGATTTCGTCGGTGGAGTCCGCGGGGCCCGCGCACCTCGGGATAAACGTTCGACGCGCGACGGGATAAATGCGAGACCGTAATCTCGCGGGTGGACCAGTTGTCGCGACGACGAAGAGGAAGAAGAAAAAGAGACGGCCGGAATCATCGGGTGGTTGCGAGAGGCGGAAACCACCGCAGCAGTGTACGGGACCAGGCGCAACGGGGAACACAGGCGTCGACGGGACGTTGGATGTAGATCTCGAAGAGGGGGAGGAAGAGGCGGCTGGTAATCCCAGGGAGGAGAGAAATAGGAACCTGGAGGAAGAGGAGGACGAGGGAGCAGCGGAAGGTCGGCCTACAACCAGCTGGACTGGACGGCCTCGCGAGTTTTCGTGGTAGGGCCGGGGGTTGTGGGGGCCACCACGGGGGCGGGGGTGGGCTTGCCCCTGCTTCTTCTCGTCGTCGCTGTCCTCGGCAATCAAACGCGCACGACGACGGCTGCGTCGGTGGTGTCCGATACGTACGTGTCCCTCGACGCTGCGCCTCCTCGTCTTCCGCCTCGATCGCCGGACCGTTCGCCGTCGGGGGCCGCGTTCCGGTTCGCCACCCAACATTTCTCCAGCCTGCGCCCGCGCCCAGAACTGGATCGCCACGTGGCGTCGTTGATTCCCGAACTAGCGGACGATCGGGACGGGGCTCGATCGTTGTTTCGCCAGGACCCGACGACGATCGGCGCCGTCGGGACGAAGGACTCATCTTCGGCCGCGTCGGGCGAAGCGGGAGGAGGCCTGGCTCGCGAGAGGACCAAGTCGAGGCGACGGCAGGTCACGGCGAGCTTGCTGGACGATCGGGGGTCGACGGTAGGTCGCCTGGAACCGTACTGGACGGGATTCTCCAGGCTGGTCGAGGGAGTCGAGGACTCCTCTATCACGGCGACGACGACGACGACAGCACCGGTAACGCGGACCACTGTGCCCTATCGTCCGCTCGGCGGTGGGACCGCGTCGAACGGGAGGCGCAACAGGAAGTCGAAGGACGAAGGAGGAGAAGCAGCAGCAGCATCAGCATCAGCATCAGCATCAGCATCAGGTGTTTCGGTTAAAAACGGGGGTAGGTTCGCGGTCGCGGGGGACGGTAGTGGTGAGATCATAGGTGGTGGTGGTGGTGGTGTCGTCGAGTGGACCACGACAACAGTCGCCGGGCCGATGTCATCGTGGTCGTATCCTGAAGATGAGGAGCCGGGAGCTGGAAGCGTAAGGACACGCCCGAGCCCGGAGGAGGCGCGGACCGAGGACGCGGAGGCTGAGAGCAGCGAAGAACAGGTCAAGGTCACGGTGCCGCAGCCCAAAGGCTCGTCCACGTCGACGCCATCGACCACGAGCACGTCGACGACCACGCAGTTGCCACCACCGAGTCAAGACACCTCTATGGAACCACGTGAGTACCGCAAAATTCACTCCCTATTTGCTCGGCCGACCCTTTCTGGCCTCGCGGTTTCGACTCCCCCTCTCGGTGTCGTTCCCCGTGTGCCGGATACGCAGCCACCGGCCTCTCTCTTGCTCCTTTTGCCATGCCTCTCCCCACGGGCGTGTTTACAGGAACCGAAGCTCGACGCAGGACCCTTGGTCGGGTTATTTTTAACTATTCTAACCGTGCGGCCACTTTCTCCGGGCCTCCCTTCGCCCTGCCTCCCTCCGTCTTATTCTCTCTTCTCCCGTCTCGACAGCTTCTGCGCTCGAACGCGACTATACGACACGCGTACTACACTCGCCCGATCTTTCCCCCTCCAAGGGAAACGATCGCCCTTCTATCAATAGTCTTTCTTTCACCTTTTTAACGCGTTCGCTGCCTCGCTAATATTCTGGATCTTCAACGACAACAACTAGTTTCGTAGCTTAAGTAGAAATCGATATAAAGCATCAGACGTACACACTTTATAGGATTGGAAGAATAATTTTTTTTAAACAGATTGTCACGAAATACAAAGATCACAAAAATCACGATCGTGAGTGTTAACGACCAACGGAATTAGGCGGAACAGAGTATGTACAGCGGGTCCGATTTTTCGCCTTGAAGCGAGGGAGTACTGTTGCTCTATTTTAAGCAAACACAATACAAACTTTAACGACCCTTATCTCATCAAGCACATCGACGCACATGTCCAGTGCAATTAAATTTTGTTCTTTTCTTTATGTATTACTATCTAATTTCTTTTCAGTATCGCAACAAATACTTAGAAAATTTCTCCGTTGAATTGTACATTTTTACTCGCGTTTTAAAAGCGTCACAGTCTAAAAAGGGACTGGCGATTGTTGCCGTTATTCGTGTTTCTTATCTTTCCACAGAAACGAATTTCCCCGATTGCACCATCAATCGTTTAGCCACTATTTTTATATTTATAACCGGCACTAAACCCGCGATAAAAATATACGGGTAGCTTTACGCTATACAACTGGAATGAAAGAACCGTGGTGCGATTTAAAAAATGCGCTATTTATACGTTGGCGGAAGATCGGTGATGATCTACCAGTGGTCCATAACGCCTGAAATCGCCGCGTTGTGTTTTGTTTTCGTCACGGTTCGCTTAATATAACAGACAAGACGATCGAAAATAACATTTTAGAACCTCCCGACACTATTTCGTATATATGACATTATTTTCGGATTATATTCATCCAGTGGAATCTTTACGTAACTTCTTGTTTAACGCGTTGTTCGGTGCACGGATTTTTGCGAGAAATCCCCCTGGCGCCGACTACATTTTACGGTTCCAGCTTTTATCGAATAAATTTTCAAACGTCCAGTGGTTCGCGCCATAGCGCTGCTTTTCGATAGCGGCTCGTCCGCGACAACTAAAAGCCATCAAGCTATCCATGCCCATCCAACGATGCACTTTGTCATTCGAAAAACATAAAGCTGCGCAACAAAACCGTAATTCAATCCGAAAGAATATTCCACCGAATCGTCTCGTAGGAAAGAAAAATATCCCTTTTTGCTCTTTTTTACGGTAGATAGTAATTTGGAGTGTCCGTAAACTTGATACTGTTGTAGTTTGGGTTATTGTAAAGGAATTTATTTTAACACATATTCAACTGTACACGAAGAGTCGCTGTTGTGTTTATAATACGGCTGACGAGACGAAAGTGAGTGAAGGAGCGTACAGAGCCGGAAATCGGGAAACAAGAACAATACAGAGATCACGTGACACATTACATAGCGTTTACATACTATACTAAGAGATGTCACGATTAGTATGATTTACAACAGATACTAGTTCCTAGATAAAATGTTTAATTTGTGGAAAAACCGTCGAAGAGTCTGGTAGTTTCATTTATTGTCATCTCGTGACAAAACGCGAGAGTAAGGCAATTTTTACAGGTTCATTTTATCGCTAAAAGGTGAAGTTGTTCGGTGGATCTTGTCAAATATATTCGACGGAGTTTTTGAGCATTTTGAGCTAAAGAGTAAGCTTGTCGATGTTTAGTTATCAAGATATTGGAATCTGCTAGAAGCGATGCCTAAACGAGCGTAAAGTTGCACTCGCGCGAGCATCGGGTTGCCTGTTGTCAGGCGCGATGGGAGCAGAAGAAAAACGAAAAAAAAAAAAATAATAGATAATTACAATTTATTGACAGTCGGAGTGTGGGCGGAAAGGGGACTCTAAAAATCTACAACTCGATCCTGTACCTTTCCCTCTGTAAATATTTCGTTATCCACATTATATTTGTAAATATCGATAGCTTCTGTTTATATTTTGACAGCACCAATCGCATTATTTAAATCAGTACTGCACCTATATGTATTTAAAGTACGAAAAAATAAAAATAAATTGTTAGGTCGAGTCTCAGGAGAAACAACAGGAGCCAACGACATTTGAAAAATGATCAAATATAGAAAATTATTTCAAATTTGAGAAGGTCCCTTTTGGTTAAAGCAACGTTTCCACCGGTGAAAAAAGAAAATACATTGTAGATCGCAAAATCGACGAGATCTTCGGCGAGTGGTCGTTTCGCGAAACAGTGGCGAGCGTGGTCGGGCCAGCGAGCGTAAAATTCGCGAGAAAGCGTTTCGCGGAGGATTTTTTCGTCGGCGCGGCGTTGGCCTCGCGGAAGGTGGAAAGGAACAGTGGTATAAAAGCGCGCACGGCCGTGTCGGTACGAGGAGGATGGGAAGGGAACAGGCTTCGCCGTGGAACGTGTGCATCTCGTGTGTTTTCGATTACGTTTGCACGGCCGTACGCCGGCTGCGTACGATGTACGGCTCGTGACTTCGCGTATGAATCAGCCGAGCTATTCTTTTCGCGCATTGGCCGACCGCCGACTCGGTTTCCCGTCTCCGTCGCGATCGCGCTCGCCTTCTCGCACTCTCTGTTCTGCTTTTGCACCGTCCGCGTCCCGCGCACGCGAATCGACCAACACCGAACGCGACCGAATCCTTGCAACCGCGTCTCCGTCGCTGGTGCGTTTCCCGTCCTTCTCCGGGGGGCCGCCAAAGTTGGTACCGTACCTCCAAATCCGGTACTTTTTACCTTTCTTGGCAGTCTCACTCGGGGACGGTCGCATTTCCATCGAGTCTGGTACCTTTTACGTTTGGTGGCACCTCTGATAGGGGGTAGTTACACATCGAGACAAATCTGGTGACTTTTGTCGGGGGATAATTAAATATCGTACGGAGTCTAGTACTCTTGGTACAGGGTGGTTGTACATCGTACAAAATCTGGTACCTTTTGCATTCTGTGACCATTTTGAGACGGGGTAGTTGCACATTGTATCGAGTTTAGTGCTTTCTACGTCTCTTGGTGGCTTTACCAGGGGATAATTAACACTAGATTTACGGGCATTGATCGCGCGTATATTTATTGATACCTTTCATGTTGACGATTACCTTACAATTCGATTTTTCTTTTAATTAGAATATGTATTCTAATCAAATTCAACATAAGTTGTTAACAAATAATATTTACGCGTTCTGCAATTTAAAATATGGAATCAGACACCCGTCAAATTGACGGCTTCCGTAAATCTAGTGTTAAACGTCTTACGAAGTCTTGGTACTTTTGGCAGGCTATAGTTGCACCTCTTCGACCTGTTTATCATTAATAAATATAAATACTATGTTGCAAGAATCGTTGAGTTATCTCGATCACCTTTGACCCATATAAGATCAAAAAGGGGAAAGCAATTACGAAGTTTATTCCTTAAATTGAACCAGAACGATTTATGGACTAGTGCTCGGCATGTTCGGTACCACGCATCTGGCTTATCACGTAGGTTATGTGACACGCATCTAGCTTATCACATAGGTTATGTGACACGCATACGGCTTATCATATTATTTATGTAACACTTTAATTCTCATTTGAGTATGCCGACACATACGCAACAGCCACGATTCCTCGCTTCGAATAAATAATTAAAATCTATTTTTAATTATTGACACGATAACGGAAGTGTTAGATATACGAGAAAGTTTTTTTTTTTACGAACAATAGTTCTGAATAGTAACTGAATTATCTACAATTATTTCATCGAAACGTGGGGGCTCTATTTTTCCTTTAGTTACCTTCCGTTTTTAAAAACAATATTTCTCATTTTCTTGTTGCAAATTAACTGCGTGAATCGAATGGAGCAACTCACCTTTTTAATTTTTTTTTAGGTACGTCTATAAATAATAATAAAATTCTGTATAGGTTAGCTTGTCGTAAAATTCTTGGCCTTCAATTTGATATTTTTTTGGCGGAAATCCGACGATTCTACGCCTATCCGTGGCCGTTTAAAGTTTGCCAATTGATCGAGCGCAGTGAATGACGCCCGGTTAAATGAACTTCATAAATTCCTGGAAATGCGTACGAGGAATAGTAAAAAAAACTGACCGTGCGTACGCGCAGCAGAAAAGAACTGTCTATAGAAAAAAAACGTCTAGCCTCAGCACGTAGCACGTTTTTTTTCCGGTTGTCTGGAAGACCCATCGGCGTAACGACAAATTATTCTTCATTCGACCGCGGTTTCGTTACTTTTCCATTGTCGTAGCTACCAATTTTTTTTCCTTATTTCACGATTCCAACAGAAACACTTGCGTCACGTGTGAACCATGCTGGACACGTTTCTTTTTGTTTCTCAGACCTGATAAATAATATATCAATTGTTTAGCGGAGTTCTTCGTTCCAACAAGAATACCACGATTTAGTTAGCATTTTAATTAAGTAGAATAATAAAAAGCAACGAGTTTCTCATACAATAGTCTTCGATTAAAGTTGGTCGTACGAAACAATAGTGTACAATATTCATAAACAAACCAAATGTAGTCGTTGGGGTGTTAAAATACCCCCCGCGTTGCCAGTTAAGGATCAAAATATAATACAATTCAGACTCGGTTTCGTCGCCAACTGACACACGATCATTCTGGGCTACGATGCTACGCAGTCAAAGGGTTAATCG